GTGACAGCAGACCAGAATGAGAGGTGCAGAGCAAAGTGGGCTGAGGTGGCGGGAGGGAGGGAATTATGCAACAATAAATGAATATTTTTTTAAAAAATAGTGAACGGGAGACAGGGAGGAACATGTACAACAATAAATGGATGGAAATCCTATTATTCTGTTGACTTTCATTAAAATCGCAGTAAAGAAAAAGAAAAAGTAAAGGTTCCACGAAAGAGAGACAATCCTCAATGAGATGGATTGACACAGCAATGGCAGCAGTGGCCTTGAACCTGGCAGAGATCACAAGGATGGCAGTGGACAGAGCAGGGTCCCGAGCTGTTGTTATATGGTCGCGATGCACCATCTTTGACTTGATAGCACCTAATTATAGCCACCACCTCGGTGCAGCCTGGCCTGGGGGATGCTGTGAACCGTGAGGGGCCATGGCATCCTTGGGTGGATTCGTTACCACCACAGGTTTTCTTTTCACCGTGAAGGACAGACTCAAGAGTTCCTAAGTTCCCTTGTGACTAGAAAGTTCAGCATCTGCATGGTCCAGCGGGGCTCCGTCCTGTCCAGTTGATGTGATCAGCACGTGACTTCGAATAGACTCCAAAGGTAGATGCCTGGAAGAAATGGGCCACTCCTGGCCGGACCTGGTTCTCTGTCTAATGCGTTCCTTGTGACGCTTTCAGGCTTTGAGTTTGGAATGTCATTCATTATTTTAGGTCGTCCTTTTCAGTCATATGGTGCTTTTAGTTATAAGAGGGGTTCCTCCTCCCCACAGGGGAGTTTTAAAAATTACATTAACTAAATGCCTTCCATTTGGAGAACCTCAAATTAAGTTATATCTCCAGTAAGCAGTATTCACAGGGCTAGGGGGTTCAGCCTGGATTAAACCTTCACAGCACTTGTTATTATCACGGTGATGGACTCAGTCACCTTAGAGTGACCCTGTGAGATCTTGTGAGCTGTAACTATTCCAGTGCCGAAGGGGCCTAAAAGGATTATGGCGAGAACTTCTGTAAATAATTTAACCCGGAGCCTGGTCCCATGATCACAACGTTAGAAGAGCCGTTAGGAGGAAGAACTTAGCAGAAAGCCTTCACTCACTAACTAGTAACTTAATTTGGAGAAATGATAGAATATTCGATAGAATAATTGTACTACCAGGAATTTAACCTACAAAACACAGAGTTGAATGTTGAGGTGTGTATTTTTTTTGTGTGTGTGTGTGTGTGTGTGTGTGTGTACACCCTCAAATCAGATCTGACTGGTCCAGGAGGAGATTGCCCCTCCTTTTCCAGCAGAGCATCTGGTGGATTTGAACTGCGTACCTCTGGGATTGCAGTGCAGCTTCTTGCCACTAGGCCACCAGAGCTCCAAGGGGTGTGTATTTTTGTTTTCTTAAAAAGCTTGTTCTGTAAATAATCCCTTCTCCTTTTATCTTTTTCCAAAGGAAAGTGTTTAAAAACGAGTCTATACAATGCTTTGTAAAGTTGCATATAACAGTATATTTTTGTTTTGCCCCATTGAGTTGGGACTGACTAATAAGTGAACTCTCAGCAGGTTTTTGGAGGCTGTAAATTGCACCAGTTCCTATTATTGTTGTTAGGTGCCATCGAGTCGAGTATGACCCTAGCGACCCTATGAATAACAGATTTGAACTCTGACCCACCCTGTGCTGCCCTCACATTTTCCGACACACTGGAGTCCATGGCTGCAGTCACTGAATCAACCCATCTGGTTGAGGGTCTTCCTCTCTTGCCAGCCCTGGGGCTCTGTGAGGCTGTGGTTGAGGGTCTTTTCTTGCCAGCCCTGGGGTGCTGTGGGGCTGTGCTATTCTTATTCCCTCTGGCCCTTTCAGAGAGCTGTTCATGGCCTTGTGCCTCCCATGTTCCATTTTCCCCTGTTTAGACACATGTCAGTCAGTATCCCATTGATTCTTAGGCCCTTATTTTTGCCAATGTCTTCAATGAAACTTCAACTTCTTCATTACCATTGGCTCTTGTTCTTATGGTGGTGGTGCTAGTTGGTGCTGCCGAGTCACTTGTGAATCATAGTAACCTTGTGTACAAAATCTCTGAACCCTGTCTTTTCCTGAACCAATCTGTCTCCGACACACCTACCCCCACTGCCCCAGTAACTGTGTCAATCCATCTCACCAGGGTCTTCCTCTCCTGCACCAACTGGCCACCCTTCCAAGCATGATGTCCTCCACCTACTGGCCTCTTTTGGGAATATGCTCAAAGGATGTGAGACAGAGCTTCAAAATCCTTGCCTCCAAGGAACAGCTGGGTTTCACCCTCTTCAGGACAGACTTGTTTGTTCTCTTGGCAGTACATATTACATTTAGTACTCTTCTCCAGCACAACTCAAAGGCATTGATGATTCTTTTATCCTCCTTAATCATTGTCCAGCTCTCTGATACATAGCAAGTAATTGCAAAGACCATGGCCTGGATCAGGCATAACTTAGCTTCTAGACTGACATCATTGCTCTTCAGCACTCTGGAGGTGTCCCTGACAACAGACTTTCCCAATGCAATTTGTCTTTTGATTTCCTGGCTGCTGGTACCAAGAGTATTGATTGTGGAGCCAAGCAAGCTGAAGCTGTTAACGATCCCAGTCTCTTCATTGTCTATCACGATGCTGCCAGTTGACCCAGTGGTGAGAATCTTTGTTTTCTTGATGTTGAGCTTCAATCCATATTAAAGGCTGCAGTCCTAGACTTTCTGCAGCAAACGCTTCTGGTCTTCTTCAGTTTCAACAAGAAGGTTGTACTATCTCCATTATGCAGGTTGTTAATGAGTCTTCTGTTCCTCATATAGATTGAAAAGGTGTGGAGATAAGATGCATCCCTGATGTGTACATTTCTTGGTTTGAAGCATGCAGTATTTCCTTGCTCTGTTCACACGACTGCTTCCGGTCCAAGTATAGGTTTCTCATTAACATGATCAGGTGTTCTGGGATTCTCATTCTTCTCAAGGTTAGCCACAATTGGTTGTGATCCACACAGATTTTTCAGTGTCAGTAAAACTTTTGGTACAGTGACTCTGTGTATTCCTTCCACCATCTTTTGATACTTTCTTTCATTCAATATTTTACCTTTACTGTCCTTCAGTATTACTACTGGAGGCTTGACTTTGGTTTTCATTTCTCTCAGCTTGAGAAATACTGAGCGAGGACTTTCCTTATTCCAGTTCTCTGCACCTTCTATTATTATACTTTGCTTTGCCTTCTTGAGCTGGCCTTTGACATTTCTGTTTGGCTCTTTCTACTTCCGCATCTTTTCCCTTTGTTTTGGCTTTTTGATGCTCTAGTGCCATTTTCAAGGTCAAGGACTACAGCCTACAATATGGATTGAGGCTCAATGTCAAGAAGACAAAGATTCTCACCACTGGACCAAT